CTACTTTTTCACTTCCTTTGCTACATATGCATTTGTATTACATAGTTCAGCATGCCATTTTAAGAGCTATATAGTATGTCATTGAGTGATGGTTTATGTAACTATGCTTCATTTTCCTCATTGATTTCAATTAGTTCTTTTTAAAAATAATTTTTATTTAATTTTATTTATTCATTCATTTATTTTAATTTGATCAGAGAAAGCTACACACACACAGAGAGAGAGGGAAAGTGAGAAAGCAGCCACCAAGTCCAGTATTCGAACCATGGTCGGCCATGTGGGAGTGTCCAGTGCCTTAACCACCATACCACCTACTGGTCCCCTCAATTAGTTCTTCTTCTTTTTTTGTTTTTGGAGAGGTTTTTGCTATAGGGCGTGTGTGCTCGCCAGAAAGACAGAGAGAGACAGAGAGACAGAATGCGAGAAATCACCCCCCAGGGGGGATGGCCATGCCACAATCCCTTCTCCAATCTCCTCTTGGGATCTTGGGCACACACGCACACATGCCCGGCATGAGTTTAAGCCACCAGGTCCGGGACTTGAACCTCTGTCAGCTACATGGGAGTTCAGTGACATAGCCATTACACTAACTGCTGGTCTTCCCTCAATTAATTCTTTATACAATCAAAGCATATTTGCTTTTACATGTGTTGTATTCTGCTATAATTATTTTTTACAAATTATTTATTTATTTATCTACTCATTTAGTTTTTTAATTTGACCAGCGAGAGAGGGAAAGTGAGAAAACAACCCACCAGGTCCAGGACTCGAACTGTTGTTGGCCATGTGGGAGTGTCCAGTGCATTAACCACCACGCTACCTGCTGGTCTCTTCTGCTATAATTATTATGTTTTTTAAAGAACTATTTTAACTTTATTATTATTTTCCAATTTGACTAGAGAGACAGAGAGAGAGGGAGGGAAAGTGAGAAACCACCAGGTCCAGGACTCAAACCATGGTTGGCCATGTGGGAATCCAGTGCCTTTAACCACCATGTACCTGCCAGCCCTATCTGCTATAATTATTTTTGCCCATCCTGTTTTGCCTCTTTATTTTTTATAATTTTCTTTCTATTTTTAAAAGAATTATGTTGTCTAACTTTATTTATTTATTTTAATTTGACCAGAGAGGGACAGAGCAAGAGCAAGAGAGAGAGAGAAGAAAGTGAGAAAGCGAGCTGCCAGGTCCGACTCGGGACTCGAACCGCAGCTGGCCATGCGGGAGTCCAGCGCCCTTAACCCCCACGCCACCTGCTGCCCCTATAATTTTCTTTAAAATAGTCATGTCAGCTACATCGGTTAAGTAAGGGCTAAACAGGGGTTCCTGGAAATGTTACACCTTTTCTCTGGGGAATTGTTCTATTGCTTCTAAACATGGAAAATCCTTTCTTGATCATAGTACTCCTACTGACCCTGTTTCCATATGGCTTCAAAAATTATTTTGAATTATAGAATGAAATTGGGGCCTTTTCCCCTCTAAATTACTACCCACGTGGTACAACACTATTTGTGGCACTATCTTTTCCACTGGTCTGTGATTCCTTAATGAATTAGTATGTTTATATATTTCTTTTTTTAAAAAAATAATTATTTTATTTAACTTTATTTATTTATTTAATTTGACTAGAGAGGGACAGAGTGAGAGAGAAAGAGAGAGAAAGTGAGAAAGCAAGATGCCAGGTCTGGGATTCGAACTACAGTCAACCATGTGTGAGTCCAGCACCCTCAACCACCATGCCACCTGCTTGCCCCAGTATGTTTACATATTGCTTCTATGAATGATGCAGAGAGAGACAGAGACAGCACCCTAACAGAGTCTGACGCCATGACCTGCTCCCAGCCTCAGGCAGCCCCAGGTCACGAGCTGGTGTGTCCCTGGCACACTCAGCCAGGTCTCTGGACACAAACCCAGAACCTCCCCATGTGGGTCAGTCTCACGTTTTACTGCTGCACCATCCGGCCCCGTGATTCCTTTTACATCACCTCCTTCTTACTTCTCATGGGGTTTACTTCTGGCCTGCTGCCTCACTGATTTGTCTGTTCTACACCAGTAACTTTATGTTTTAAAAAAGAAGGAATTATTGAGGTCTTCTCTCAATGAGACGGGGAACGTGGTCCGGGGAAAAGGAAAGGGTCTGTCTACAGGCTGTCCAGACTCGACACAGAGAGGAGCTGAGGCCATGAAGTAGCAAATGTGAATTCCACACCGCCAGGACAGCAGACGCCCAGAGCTGGCACGCCTAGGTGCTGGGCACCCAGAGGTCAGGGCTGACAAAAGGGCAGGGGGCCCCTCTAGATAGGAATTTGGCTAATGCAGCAATGATCCTCCTAGGGACAAGGGGTTCTCTGAAACTATTAATTTATAAAAAGAAAATCAGGAACATCTCTAGTCAGCACAGCTGAGCATGAATGGAATCACATTTTTTTTTTTCCTTTTAAATTGCCAGAGGGCACATGCACTCATCAGACAGGGGGTGAGGAGGAGGACAAAGCACCTCCACTGGGTGTGGCCATGCTGCAATCTCTCCTCCATCTCTCCAGCCGGTTGGGATTTGGGCATGCATGCACATGGGCCTAGTGTTTTCCAAGCTGCTGGGGTTGGTATTCAAACTTGTGGTTGGCCATATGGGTTCCACCTTGCTTAACCACTAGGCCACAAGGCCAGCTAGAATCACTTTTTTTTTTTGGTCATAGGGCATCTGTGCTCATCAGAAAGAGACAGAGAGAGGGAAAGTGAGAAACCACCCCCTGGGGGGTTGGCCATGCACAATCCCTTCTCCTCCATTCTTCTCTTGGGATTTTGGGCATGTACACACATGCACCCGGCATCTGAATCACATCTTATTAAAAACAAACGAGACTGACTGATTATACAGAGGCAGTTGACAATTTGGTGGATGAAGGGAAAGCAGCGGATGCCCCATATTTTAGACGTCAGTAAACTACTTGTTTTAGCACCCCAAACCTTGATTGAAACAAGTGGCTTAGCCAGACTTCAGTAATTGGGTAGACAAGATGTCACAAGATTTGGTATTGTGGGTAGAGCAGTAATGAAAAGACTTACTTTTAAAAGGGTACAGCCTGGTGGCATAGCCTGAAGTACACTGGGCAGGTTCAAATCCCCGCCCTGGCCTGAAAACATGCAGTGTGTGTGCGTGAGCACTCAAGATCCTGACACGCTGCAGAGCTGGGAAAGAGGACTGTGGTGTGATGAGACCAATCAAGGATGCTTCTCTCTTGAGTATGTGCATACTTGCTATTATTTCAAAAAAATGCTTTGGGGGATCAGCAGATGGTGTAACAGTTACGTTGCTGGACTCCCACGTAGTCAACTGGTTTGAGGGGTTTGAATCCCTGACCTAGTGGCTTAAAACTCATGCTGGGAACATGTGCATGTGTGCCCAAAACCCTGAGAGGAGACTGGAGAAGGGATTTCAGCATGGCCATCCAACCTGGGGGTTGATTTCTCGCTTTCTGTCTCTCTCTGTCTCTCTGGCAAGCACATGTACCCTATAGGAAAAATCTCTATTAAAAAAAAATGCTTTGGAAAAGATAGGGAGGGATAACAGGATCCAATTTTGGTTTCCCTGAAAGCTATATGAAATACAGTGACTCCAACACCCTGGGATTCAAGAGAAACCCTTAACTTAGGAGTTCCTACTCTTTGCCAGCTATCCCAAGTGCACCATGGGGTGAACAGTTCCTCCCTGATGGGATAAGGCCGTTGGGTTCACTGCTGTGTCTGGGAATGACTGGGAACAATGGCTGCAGGCAGACAGTGGGGCCGGATGGATCAGGGAGTGTAGACTTGATCAGGAGGGGAAGA